GATGGCATCACGGCGATCATACCACACCAGCACACCCAGTGTTAGTGACGCAGGGGACGTCGAAGAAAAGCCCCGATGCGGTCTTACAGTGGCCGTCGGTGTTGCCCCCCTCTCTCCACCGCCGACTGTGCCCCGCAGTCAATCAAGGCTAAGCTTTCACACGCCAAAAGCCAATACATCTCGCTGGTCCGATGACAGCATCGAGTCCCTCTTCTCGTCGAGAGACATGGACTCGCCATGCCCTCAGCGAGTTACTGTCCGCTCATCCTCCGAGGCGCTGTCACCCACTGTCGTCGGGGACGAGTCTGTTGGCTCATACTCGCCTCCCCTTCTGACGCCAGTGAAAGATCGGCCTGCTACACCGTTCACGGACCCTCGTCTACGGGCGACATCCGAACCGATGACGCCTCCGCCTTCAGATCACATTGTTCACCAGATGAACATAAGCCCTGAGCCGGTGCCGCGGAAGTACTCATGGCGCTCTTCCAAAGATACGATCCTCAATACAGGGGCCCCGATATCAAGATTCCAGTCGTGGCTACCAGAAGCGCGGCCGGAAGAGGATTCCGAGGGGGGACAGCAGCAACAACAGCAACCTGAGCCGGAGGTCTACGGCGAGTGGGCGGATTACTACTTTGAGGATGGGAATTTCTGGGATGACTATTCGGACGGCGATGAGGAAGGAGATGAGACTAAGGTAGAGGAAGAGGAGGATATCGACGCCATCGAGAAGGAGGAGCAAGAAGTCGGCGACGAAGAAGAAGAAAAGGAGGAAGGGAACGAGGGTCAAAAAGACCGGCTTCGGGTCGACGATGAGGAGGTTTATCCGCGCTACGAGAGTTTTATCAAGGATTACAAGAACAACGTCATGAATATCACGGTTACGGAGGTGTAAAGGTTTTTCTTCGACGTTACTTATTTCGCCCATTCGGATTTGGGGAGTTTTACGGATGGGATGATATCTCAATCACCTTTCAGGGGTTTGAGACATTGTAACAGTATTGTACGAATTTGAGATTTAGTCGCGATTACCCACTCGTTATTTCGGAACAAAAAGAAAGCCTTTATGATTTATTACCTTTTGGGTCGCCCTGATGCTTCAATATTATCGATGTCTCTGCAATGTTCGTGTCACATGACATCACTCAACTCCCTTGGGCTAACAACTTAGATGAAAACTGACCGAACCGCGCTAATAGGCTAAGTACAGGAGCTCCATACATCGCGACGGAGACTGAGAGTCGAAATACCGCACCTAACAAGAGCACCTTGGGATGCCTCCATCCCTTGACTTTGGGTACTACGAGGCGATGTCTCTAGCCCCTAAGCGATACCAACATCCTTCCAACTCGCTCGGTCGAGGAAACCCCCCATTTTCGAATCCCCATTATGACGGAACCGAATAGAGTGACACGATTGATTCCATCGTCGTATTCTTGGACATTCCCCTCCCCCCCCCCCCTAAAACAAGAAAAGATCGATGTTTTCACTTCTAATATTCGACCTGGGGGAGAACAGGCTTATCGGGATCAACCCAGTCCGTAGGGCCCTCGATACCGGGCCTGCAGGCATGGTGAGCCCTTTCCCACCACTGCTGGGTCCAGATGCACGGGCCCGGCGGAAGGCCGCCCCTGCGGGCAGCGTCGTTGCAATACCTCCAGCGGACGAGGGCCTCTCTGCACAGTTTCCGCTCCGGTTGGTTGCAGCACCTTCTGCGGTACCAGGTGTAATAGGAGCGGTTTGCGTCGGCGTGGTCGACGAGGAAGAGAAGGGCTGCGAGGAGGAGGACGAAGTGGTGGAGTCTTATGTGCATTTTGTCGGAGGGGTTTGGTTGTGAGTTGGGTTTTTGCTTATTTCGTTTTTTCTGAGAGTTGAGTGATTTTTGTTTGGAGCTGAGGTATGGTGTGATTTGATCCGGCGATGTGTGGTTTGGTGACTTGATAGCAAGAGTTTGATGAGAAGTTATTGGATTGAAGGAGGAAAATAGGATGGATTGTAGAAAACTAGGTGCTTTCCTGAAGTATGCCGACAGGAAGAGTCTTCAGAGGAAGTGGAAGCTGTGTCTAGTTTGGAGACCAAGATAGCCATTAGTGAACCCTGAGGATATGATTCTACAACCTTGACGGAACCGATGGGGAGTGTGAGGCAATCTAGTAATCCCGTGCGGCTGCAGAATCTAGAACCATCATGGTTGAGAGTCGTGTTAATTCAAGTCAGGCACGGGAGACAGTCGGGTTCTGTTCATTCCGCCCGCCGACAAGAGTGAAATAAGACACTGGTTACCCGTACATACTAAATACACCTGGAAGCTTGGAACTCTTAACATATTTCATCAGAAAGACCATTGCTTCTTCCACTATCCAGGCCTCCAATGCACCGACGATGGCTTCAATAAGCTCGATCTCCCGCGGTGTATGCGGCTCGGTGTGGCCCAAGCTCCAAGCTCCCAAGCTCCCCCAAAACTTTCACCTCATACCTGGTTTACCCTTTCGTCTTCCTCACACAAACTTCATCTCATCCACGAACTTCCTCACGCCATCTAGTCATCCTTTCCCCTCATGACGCGCAATGCAGTGAGTCAGCGGCCGGAGAGAAGAAACACACAGAAAGTAAGCGTGCGCGCACCGCGGTAGATGCCTCGCCTACCGCCCTGCCTCTTCCGCCGCGCCCACGCCATCTCACCCCATGCCGCCGTCCTCCTGCCGGCGTGCCGCGATGTACCCTCCGCGGTGACCGAGCTTCGCTGGATCAGGTCGCACGTCGCAAGCAGCGGTAGGCAGCCGTCATCAAGAGCGCTTCTGCCCAGCCAAGATGAGCAAGAAGCCCGCGTCGCACGCCTCTGCGCAAAACGCGGCCGCGGCGTGCCCCTGCAGTACGTCCTCGGCTCCCAGCCCTTCGGAGCACTCGACATCAAGTGCCGGCCCGGCGTGCTCGCCCCGCGCGCCGAGACGGAGGCGTACGCGATCCATCTGGCCGACATGATCACGCTTGGCCAGCTGCCTGGTTTCGAGAACAGAGAGCTGCGGGTCGTGGACTTTTGTACGGGCACTGGGTGTATCGCGCTCGCGCTGTACGAGCGTCTTACACGATGGGCCAAGAAGCTTAGCGTCGCGGGCGTTGATGTCTCGCCCATCGCTGTCAATCTCTCGCGAGAAAATTTGCGGCGCAACATGGCTACAAATTCACTAATACCGCCGTCTCCCGACAAGGAGGTGACTTTCCGAAAAGCAGACGTCTTCCAGGAGGCTGATATGCAGTCGCTTCAACGATGCGATGTACTGATATCAAACCCGCCGTACATATCACGCAAGATTTGGACCTATGGTCAGGGCCAGATGGGCTACTCTGTGCGAAAGTACGAGCCGAAGCTCGCGCTCGTGCCGGGGGAGATGGTGCCTACGTATGAGGGGTGTGATCATGCCGACGTCTTTTACGCCAGATTGCTCGACATTGGAAGTCGGCTACGGACGCGAGTCTTACTATTCGAGGTGGGAGATGAGGAACAGGCTCTTAGGGTTGTCAAGCTCGTCAGACGCAATGACTTTACGAGGCATGCTTTGTGCGAGCTCTGGAGGGACTGGCCAGACTTATCGCCCGAAGAAGATGAAGTGAGTTCATTCCATGTCGATAGGGAGATGATTACTGTCAAGGGCAGCGGGAATGTTCGATCAGTCCTGATTCGTCTATGAGACTGAGTTTCAAAAAGCTTGGATATATACGCATTTAAAATACCATCCCACATCAGAATATGTCAGGCGCTTGCAATATTGCAAGAGAACAAATAATACGGCACAGAGTAGTCAAAATCACCATTTTCGACTTCATAAGGATGATGTGTGGCAAAAGCAAAAGATTACTGCCCAGAGGCGGATTCGAACCGCCGTCAACACGGATCGCTGTATAGAAGAACCACAACGTATCATCCTAACCAACTAGACGATCTGGGCCAGTGGTTATTGATGGAAGCTTAAGTCTGGTGACGATCTAAGGATCGTTTCGCGATTGAGGGTGGGGTTTCTGCCGGTTTAGCGCCTGAGACCCCCTAATCTTTAGCAGTCGCTCAGCGGGCCCAACGTCTGTAACCGCTGGACCTCTCCTCAGGGCGCTTCTACATGCGTGCCTCAGCTGGCTCACTCCCGTCTTTGCGGTTCACAACTGACAGCTTTATTGAAGGAGACGAGGCACCTGAACCTGTGTCATGAAACAAGGGAAGCAACGGCGATGAAGTTATTTCCCGCGAGGAATCGGAGGTGTTTCCAGTCTGATTACACAGAGACATCGTGTCTCTGCTGCCCACGGTTCAGCTGGACCCTGTGCGCCTCAAGTGATTGGGATCAGACAAGCGGGGTCCAGATGGCGTAAAGAAACGTTCCAGCCATGAGCTTGATCATCAACGGTCGGTTGCGCGTGTGCAGCCGTCGGCGCCCTTCGCACCCAACGATCCGGGTTGTTCCTGAGATTTCGAATTGCGCGTGAAAGCTAGAGAATCAAATGAAAGGGGTCTTCCCTTGCAAGCCACACCAAGAGACTGCGCCATGCCGTGGTTCTTTGGAATGAGGCCGGAGCGGCAGCGGGAAAGGGTCCAGATGTGATGAGTGGAATGCTAGAAACGTAGATCAGCTCCTGTCCTGATTGACGGCGTCTGAGGTTCCTTGCGACTTGGATTGATAGTAAAAAGTGAAGGCGTGGGAGAACTGCAGCCTGGAAAATGAACCTCTTCCAGGATGATCGGATTGATCTCGATATCCAGCTTCACATGATTGCTGTAGCAACGTGAGTTTCTCGTGACAATCTGATACATGGGCACACCATTTCACGGGCGAGGAGACTCTTCGACTATGGAGACGAATCAAGGTAGAGTGCCAGGATCAAGATTTCGGCTATCTCATCACGCCGAATCAGATCGGAGGCACCGTATCTTATCCGACATCAGCTTCGGGCGGGGTATATGCTTCGACTCCGGATCGCACTCACATCAATGATTGAGTGTTTCCCAAAACATGGCATCCGGAAAGCACGTTGTCAAGCCATCCTCGCGAGCCTTGGCAAATTTGGAGTCCGGAGGCTTCATCGACTTGGAAAATGAAGCCAGTAAACTCCCGCAGTACGACCCAGCTACGTGCCCTGATGGAGTCATTGACCTCTCCGGTGCCATCAATGGTTTGATGGGCGATGTTCTGGCAGAAGAGATGGACCGATTTTCCAAGGCTTACGATTTTGTGAAAGGCATGAGTAGCTTGTAGTCTGGTCGAGAGTTTGAACTGACATGATCTTACAGCAACTCGATACGGTGATGTTATGGGACCGAAAGGTGAGTATTAAGTATATTCCAAGGCCTTTATACTATTTGCTAATAATAGGTCGATAGAGCTAGCCGATGCAATGAGTAGCTTTGTGAATCGCTATTTCGGTCCTGCGCGGTCAGTCACATCCGTTGACATACTGGTGACCAACGGCGTGACCTCACTCATAGACATGATGGCATTCGGAATGTGCGATCCAGGCGAGGGCATCATGGTCATCACTCCAACTTACATGATGTTTCCCCACGATCTGTGCGCCAGAGCAGGCGTCAGCCTAATCAAGGCCAACCCCGAGCCCATTGAGAGCCAGTTCGACGAGAAGTCTGCCCCTTTGCTCATTGAAGCAATGTCCAGAGCCTACGTCGCAGCTCTGGCAGACGGTATTGTCCCCAAGGCCCTCCTCCTCTGTAACCCGAGCAACCCCTGCGGCCGGACCTACCCAAGCACTTCCCTTGTCGAGATTGCGAGATTCTGCGGACAAAAGAACATGCACCTTCTATCCGACGAGATCTACGCCATGTCGACCTTTGCCGGCACAACGGACGCAGATGGACAGGCGCTTCCCCTATTCACCTCCGTGCTAAGCATACAGGATGATCCACCTCGCGGTGTGCTCGCTGAGAACATCCACTGCATGTACGGCGCAAGCAAAGACTTTGGCTGCGGCGGTCTGCGGCTCGGATTCCTCGTGACGCGGAACGAGCTCCTCTGGCGTTCTCTGAGGAGGTTAGTGCTGTTTACATGGGTTTCGACTTTCTCGACTGCATTCTTCACGCACTTCTTGCTTGACGAGGAAGCCGTCGGTAGACATCTTAAGATCTACCGTGAACGACTCGAGGCGCAGTATAGGTTGACCACGCAGTTCTTGAAGGAGAGCGGAATTCCATTCGTGCCGGCAAACAGTGGGGTGTTCATCTTCATCAAGCTGACGGCTTGGTTGGATCACGGTGAGCATTCGGCTGAACGCGACGGAAGCCGCGAGATGAGACTCTGTCGATATCTTTTGCATGAAGCAGGTGTCTTTCTCAGTCCTGGAGAAGTAGGTCTTTCATGTCGACTAAACTGTAATGAGATGATTGACATTCACATAGCTCTCCCTATCGACGGTTCCGGGCTGCTTCAGATTGGTCTACACCGACAAAAGGGAATATATGCCCATAGCTATCCAACGGCTAGCAGAGGCACTGGAAGAGCTCAAGCTGCGTCCTGCATCACAGTCTTCTTCGTCCTCAATGAGTGGCCAAAACATCAAGGGCACCATGAATGTGGCAGAGGATTTGACGAGGGTATCACGGCGGACGTCGATTGCGCGCTTCTTGCTTTGTCAAAGAGCATGACAGTGCAAAAAGCATCTTGCCCAGGATGAAGATGAGCCAACGATGATGATAAGAAGACAAAAAAATAAGATGTAGCTGCTTCATGGCGCCGAAACGCAAAAGAAATTGACCAGCCTGGGGGTCGAACCCAGAATCTCCTGATAACACATTTAGTCGTAGTCAGACGCCTTGCCATTGGGCCAACCGGCCATTGATACAAAGGCGAAGCTTAGCGTCGTTCTTGAAGCCTATCCTCACGCCAACCGGCGCGATGCCGAATTAAGGATAAGCCGTGGACCAAAAGACCTTGCCTTCAACGGAATCTGCTGTTATGTGATATTCCAAGTCTTCACCAGCATTTCTTAGCTGTCAGTGATAAGACTGTGAGTGCTCGCGATGTGAGAATCATTCGAAGCTGTCTCTGTGGGTACCGAATATGCAATAAAGCGATCCACACAGACAAACACTTATTCACTGGCACTGCAAGATCATCAATCCTCCTCTATAGCAAGAGGGAGCAAACATGGACGCATCGTGATTTGAATCTTGAATTTCGTCGAGAAATGAAAAATTGTAGTCTTCTGGTCAGATATACACGGTGATGGGCACATTGCCGACCTTTCAAGATGTCGTTTCCTGACAGACCGGTCGCTCACTTGCTGGGCTCGAATGGTGAGTTGCGTCGTTTGGCCATTAAACTCATAGGCCAATAAAAGACAAGAGTCGACTTCCTCGGCAGTTTACAAGGATCAGAGGCTGACTTCAAGTAGGACCCGTTCATGCTGTCTCATATTCAGCATCGCCAGGAACATACATCCTCACCGGTTCAGCGGACCGCAACATCAGGCTCTACAACCCGGCATCTCACAACCAGCCCCAGCGCTACGGCTCAGCCATCAACAGCAGCAAGACGCCGGGAACCACCAAGCCCGCCGTCCCCGAAGCCCGCCTCATTCAGACCTACACAGCCCACGGCTACGAGGTCCTCGACCTCTCCGTCTCCTCTGACAACGAGCGGTTCGCCTCCGTCGGCGGCGACCGCGCCGCCTTCCTCTGGGACGTCGCCACAGCCAAGACGATCCGCCGCTTCGGCGGCAACGCGCACGGTCACACGGCGCGCGTCAACTGCGTCTCGTTCGCCGGCGACGGGGACTCGCTCGTCATTTCCGGGGGCTTCGACACGAGCGTGCGCGTATGGGACGCCAAATCCAACTCGGCAAAGCCCATCCAGGTCTTGGACGAGGCCAAGGACGCCATCACGGCGCTCGCGGTGAGGGACGCGGAGGTCATTGCGGGCAGCGTTGACGGGAGGGTGAGGAGCTACGATGTCCGGATGGGACGTTGCGTGACGGATGTCATTGGGGCGAGCGTGACGAGTCTCAAGCTCACGCGGGACGGCAAAGCCATGTTGGTCGGATCGTTGGACAGCAAAATCCGGCTGATGGACCGGGAGAGCGGGACGTGCCTGAAGACGTACGCCGATGACGGATGGAGAAACGAGGAGTTGCGCGTGCAGGCCGTCCTCGGTAGCAAGGAAAAATATGTCATTGCAGGCGATGAGCTTACAGCCGGCACGGGACCTTCGGGTTTGAACGGTGACGGCAAGATATGGGCATGGGACCTCTTGACGGGCAAGCTGGTTGCAACGGTCCGGGTGCCGTGCCCAGAGGGCTTCGAGCCCAAGAAGAGAATGCTAGGTAAAGATGGCAAGGAGAAGGAGAGGAGCAACGTCATCAGCTGCATGGCCTGGAGGGCCGATGGATGGGGAGATCAGTTCTGCGTCGGTGGCACGTCAGGGATAGCTACTGTCTTTGGTTCACTCTAGAAGTCATATATGATGCATCGCTATGATATAATCGCAACAGTGATGAGGTATCGTCATTCCGGACGTTCACGTATCTAACAAAATGTTCCAAATCATACAGAGTCATGTCCGTCTCTGACCCCGTGGTACTCTACACACACAAGTGGATGTTCCGCAGACGCCCAACACCAATGTACCCAGATGCTTCCCTGGAAATCCCCAATCGGTGCCAACCAAAAATTACATAGAACAGCAATCGTGCTTTGAAACCACTTCGGTTGATTAGTCCATGCCGACATACTTGAACCAGTTCGGGCGGCAGTCGTCCTTGTGCAGCCAGGCCTCGCCATCAGTGAAGCGGCCTGTTACGCAGCCCTTGCACTTGTTCGAGTTGGGGCAGTTGAAGAAGGGAATGTGCTGGTATCCGATGTCGCGGAACCTGGTGCATGTTAGTTGACTGATCTTCCGTATGGAGCTTCGTGAGGCTTGGCAAAACGTACCAGTGAATCTTGGACTTGTCCTCGAAAAGGCCCAAAGCAATGCTGTGGACAGGAGCATCGCCCCATCTTTCGTAGAAGAAACCCCCAGCGCGGTCCAGATGCTGGAAGTAGTCCTCATACGCTTGGCTCCTCCAGAAGTCAATGTCGGCAATCTCAAAGTTGCTCCAGAAGTGACAGGTAGAGTAGCCATTCGCATCAACGTTGTTCTCGGGACGACCAGCCTTGTCGGTGAGCCAGTCCATGGCGTTGTTCTCGTGGAGGTATTCGGGGTGCTGCGCGAGGAACTTTCTAGTCTCGGGCCACAACGTTGGGATGGACTTGGGCGCGTCGTACAGGTTGACGGTGAAACCATATGTCTTGTTGTTGTCCTGCATGTAGCGGAAGACATCGTAGTCAACGTCGCAAAAGAAATGGACCTTAGGCTCGACACGCCAGTAGTACTTGGTGTGCTGCAAGGCAGGGTGCCTATAAAACATGCCACTGTTCCAGCGGCACATGGAGTGGTACGAAACCTTATCGGCGTACTGAATGTCGTTTTCCTTGAGGATCTTGACGGACTCTTCGTACAGGTCTTTGTTGATCCAAGAAGGCATCTCCCAGTGCTCTTTAGGGATGAGTTCTAACAAGTTTGATTAGCGCGAGAATTGCGTAAGGAATCGTCGCAAAAGCTTACCGTATCTGCACTCAGCCTTGGTGGCCGCCTGAGTCCTTCTCTTGAACTCATCGCTGAAGGGAACCTCATTGAAGAACGTCCATGGGTAGTTGAACTTATGGTTCCAGGTTCTCTCGAGATCGGCCATTGACTGAATCATTCCATCTAATTCCTCGTTTCTGACCAGCGCCAACAATGTGGCATTGATGCGAGCGGAGTCTTCGATGCCGGGGGCATATTTGTCGGAGACATATGTCAGAACACCTTGAGGTTCACCGGTAGCTGTGCACGGATATTGTCGTCAGCGATCTATGCGATGACTGTAGTAATTGCAGGCGCAACTCACGATCCAAGTTGGGGTCCCGTCCATTCTCGTAGCGCACTGGCTTCTGGCTTATCGGCCTTTCGGGGCCAAAGATCTGGTAAAGGAAGAAGCACCAAAGCATCACGGCGGCTAACGCCAGAGCTCGAACTGGGCGGGCGACCGCCATTTTGGCAGATGGATTGGAAGCAAGCTAGCAGTCGTGGGAATGATGTGGGAAGGCGGAGGTATCTCGACAAGTCGAGCCGTCGAGCGATGTCAGGTTCGACTTTTGCGCAAATAGTCAACGGCTAGCGGAAAAGCCAGGTCGTCGAAGTCGATCGAGTGGTGGGAGATTTCTCGGTCGCGGCTCGTGCCGTCGGTTTTTGAGGGCCGTTCGGTGGTGTGGAAGGGAGATTTGTTGACCACTAGGCCAGATTGAAGAGTGACGCGTAAAAAATCGGAAAAGGGGGCGTTGATGGCAGTTGTCCCAGGTCGTTGGATGCTTGAGGCTGATGTCACCCCGTGAAATTTGCCAATTAGCGTCTTGCATTGGGAGAACCAAGGACCTATGGGCGCTTTGTCCAGCTGTCGCACCCCTGTAATGAGCGATAAGGGAGGATCAGTACCCCCGCGCGCCCCTCTATTCGGCCGGCATCCTAACACCACCTGCGCACCAGATGGCTGTCGCGTGTACTTGCGACAAGCACTTCTACAACGCGTCTCCTGACGATGCCGACAGATTAGCTCAATGCCGACACATGGCCCCCTGTTTCTCATGATCTGACCTTGAAATCCTCCGCCTGGCTACTTCCGACGACAAACAATGACATTCGCTGCAAAGCTCGGCGCCTTGACCGACGAGCTGGTTGAGGTCATCATCACATCGACACCGGACAAGGTGGGAGACGGTTCATCCCATCTTGCATGGGCATACACAATGCAATGCAGCTCGGCCCGTCGCTAACACCAACGGCAGCACATCAGTCGAGAGCGCTTCAATTTATTGCGCGAGTCTTCGCATCGCAGTCTCAAGCATCACAACTTCCTGCGCACCAATCAATTCGACATTGACAAGCAGCTTGTCGGCCTGGAGGAGCGATTTAGGGTCCACCATCGTGAAGGCTTGGCAGATGCCTTCAAGGAGCGGCTCGATGCGTTATCAGAATTCCGAACGAAGTGGCACCCTGACATACTTCATTTTCTCCTCGAGCTTTCCGATAAGCCAACACAGAAAACCCGACTTAGCGACCTAGAACTCCTTCGAGAGCCCGAAAAAGACCTCGAACCGCCGCTTAGATGGGAAGACATCGCGAAAGAGGATGGATGGCACGAGGAAGCTGAGATATGGAACACCATTGACTACAGCGATCACTCTGGCGATGAATATGGCGAGGCCAAGTCAGATACATCAAGTGTATCTGGTGAGACATCTCTCTCAACTCTGGATACATCAGTTGGTCGGAGACCGGAGGCTTTCGAGATTGCCTCGTCTGACGAGGCAGCCCTCAAGGTTGTTCAGGATAGCCAGGCTTGGAGGGTGAAAGGCAAGAAGACTGCGTCTTTAGCCCGACCGCAAAAGGTCGCCATCACAGAGTTCCAGGCGATGAGAGAGGCCCTCTTCATGTTACAAGGCCTACCCACGACATTGTTCCAGAAAGATGGTCTTGCCGACCCGGCTTACCAGATATCCAGTCTTGAATGGGATACACACAAAGCCCTTGTGAGCAGCTTCGCGGAAAGCGGGCGCCAAGTTTCCCAAAT